AAAGGAAGGATAGATTACCAGCTATCCAACCAATCATTTACCATGCAATGAGATAGGATCTTATGGAATAAATAAATTCTGCAAAAGTACAACCTACCTACCAGAAAAGCATCTTTATAACATTGCTAGTACTTAGGTTATAGGAATTCTCAACTTTGACTCGTCCCACCCTTCAAAGAAACACTGATGTTTAGCAAAGACCCGTGTCTATGCATTACTTTACAATTATCTGAACTTTTGTTGAGTACAGTCTACCACTGCAGATTATTCTATTCTATTACTCCATGTCAACTGTGAAGTACCTGGCCTGTGTTTAGTATACCGCTTCCTACTGCTGAATTAGGGGAGTAGCTTAAAATACCAAACTGAAAGAGTTACAGCTTTTCAATTTGCTCACCTAATCTGGGATTCAGACTATTTTATTAGAGAAGGATTCACAGGGAGTGGGATATGCATATTCTCTGGTGTTCTGTAGCATATTTTTACAGTACCAGTTTCCAGACCCTCCTTTTTCTCTTCCTACTTTCTCTCTCCCTCTCCAAACCACAGCAGGATCCTTAAATGTATGTTATACCATGAAAAACAAACTGAATTATCAGATGTAGTGCCAGTTATCACATATTAATGTCCATCTCTGTTACTGCCACTCAAAGTTTGTAGAGGTGCTTGCAAATAGTTTATTTTAAATGTACTGAGCGTTGAAATTAAATCCTGACATTTAGAGCTAGTGGGCTGAAAGCATTCGGATTTCCTCCCACTACAGGAACAAGATCTACCTTTATACAAAGTACCACTGGCATTTGAAAGATGGATCTCTGAAAACTCTGAAGTTTGTATCTAACTGATAACAGCAAAATTAAAGGTTAAGTATTGCATTTAAAACCAACCATAAAACTAGTTATTAAAAATCAATTTCTTTTACCATTTGCTTAAAATTTGGATGAAGCAGGCTCTGCATAAATAGCACCACATTGTCTTTGTCTATGGAACAGCAGCAGCATGTGCTGCATTCAACAGGAAAGTATTGCATATGTGAGAATAAATAACCTTATCAGTCTCCCAAGAACAGGAAAGAACCACATACCTGAAAACATTTGTTTTCTTTTCTAACCACAGGAGTTGATCTGGAAAGGCATATTTTTTTTCTACAGTCTCTACTTTCAGATTTAGTAAATAATCTTAAAACATTGAGCCTCAAAACTCTTTTTAACCTCCCAACTCCCTAAGGACTAATATTGTGACCCCAGATTATTCATTCCCTCTACAGATTCTTTGGCTTGCATAAAATTGCCATGATAAATGAGGGAAAATATAAACATGAGCTTATAGGTTCAAAGGAAAAAACCAAAAACATGGTAGTGAGTAATACTGTAACTTACTCAGTTTCAGTAACTTACTCATTTTCAGGATGTTCTTTCCTGGCTTTGGTGGTAATCTAAGGATTTTAAGAGTAATTTCTTTAAAAAAATCCTAATGCAAATTTCTAAGGCTTTGCTGTAAGAGCAATTTCTTTTGCCTGGAATGAAATATATAAGCCTTTGGCCAAGCTCTCGCCAAACCCCCTTGCTGAACAGAACCTGGTCCGCACTATCAATGATAGCTAAGTAACAACCAGCGTTTATATAAATGATCACCACTCTATAGTCAAAGCCATCTACAATAAATACACTTTACTTCCCAGTAATCTGATAGCAAATACAAAGTTATCTTAATCACACTCTTGCCTCAACACACAGCTCCAGAGGCAATGTTTTTATGAAATCTGAGAAGTTTAATGGAATTAACAGTATCCTTATTTAGTTTGACTGTCACAGGGCTAACTGCTTTACTCACGGTATTTTTTAATACGTCTGTATAATACAAGTGGAAAATTGATGTATTTGAGTCTTTTCTTTATCAGTTTACTCCAGTAAGAGCCTAAGAAATGTGTATTGTTGAATTACACGTTGTACTACCTTCACTTACAAATCTCATTTAGCACCCACAAAAAAACCCAACCAAACAAAAAAGGATTGATAGCAATTCAAGAAACTGCTGACATTTTCAGAGTGATTTTTTTCATTTGATCTCTTCCTGGCTAAGCATCTTTTTTGCATCTTGTTAGGGTCTATGTCCCTTTGCTCTTCCCAGAGGTATTTAGGCACAAGAGTCACACAAATGCCTGGTGGAAAAGCCAAATGAGTCAAACTGTTGGAAAGTTCCCAGGGCACCAGTTCAGCTCTTCAGACTTTCTCCTCCGCTAAATGTCAGATGCGTCACTGATTTAACAGCCATTGCCTGAAGAGATTTGATTATGTGCCACCATCACCCCTCTTGATTAATCAAAAGCAGCAAGTGAAAAATAAAATGATAATATGTTCACCTTTGATTTTATTCCTAACTCAGAAAATCGGTAATTCTCTTGGTTAACTCCTCTGCTTAAGTGATAATAGCAAATAGTGACAGAGGTGGTCACACAGCATCTCATTGTTTTCACAGGATGATGCAATGACATTAAGTGAAAGCAAAGCTAAAATTATGAGAAAAACCAACCAACCGAAAGCAGCAGTTTCCAATTATGAACAGAATTTGCCTTTTTATAGAGTTGTATGAAATAGCTGTGCATCTTGTAGGCATACACTCTCCGCAACACAAAATTAAAACGGCAAATGATGTTGACCTGCTAATAAACTATAACCTCTATTTCCCTGCCTGTTTTTCAGGACCACGAAAAGGCTGACGAGACAAAGGTCAAGTAAGATAGACCAACACACTGAAACACCAACCCATGAGTCTCCTTCTGACTATCATGCCAAAGCACAACATTACTATCAGGAAACAAGGCCAGTATGACAGGCTTCTCATTCTTAATAATGATGAATCAATTTGTTCCATTTCTCCTATTGTGTGTCCCTTCTTTGCATGAAATACTAAAAAAAAAAATATTTTAAGATAGATTGATTACATAGATGAGTACAGGAATAAAATTAATACAGGTGAGCATATTTCTTACATTCTTTGTCTTTTCAAAATATTAGTCACTGTCTTATTTCCTTTAGTAAGAAAGGAAAACTCACTGAAATTCAGTACAAAAGTAAAATAAAGATAAAATTCTGGCAGCCATATCTGCTCGTGTGTTACAAATCAACTTACTAACTTCTTGTATACATCTAGATTTTAGTTTTCTAGGCTATTCAAGGTAATTTTTTTTACTGTAGAACAAATCACAGAAGTAAAAGGGAAGTAGAAATTTTAGCCTGTCAGAGGCGTTTTGGTTCGAGTATATTGCTTTTCCTATCAGGCCTATAAAACCTGAAACAAATTCTACCTAGTATTAGGGTTCAGCATCTCTTAACTTTCTCACCTGAAAAAGGGTGTGTAGCTGAACATTTCTTTAATCAAGAGAAAATTGGGTTAAAGACATGTTATTTTCTTCATTACAAATAAAGCAAGTGCTTAAAGAGAAAGATAAACTTCACAGCAGAGAAAGGGGTGCCATTTAAAAAAATATATGTATCCTTTTCCATTAAAGGTCTAAACGTGCATAAAAAGGTTTTCTTTGCTAGAAAATGGTAAAACTTAAAACTTACCTTGGTCAAATCCCAGGATCTGAGGAAGACTATGATGCTGGCAAGTCCAGGAGTTCCACCTTCTGTGTTGTTTTATACTCTGCCTCTCCCACTACCTGCTGTTGAACTCAAGGACCACTACTTGTCCACCCATTGAGTGTGTAGTTGCAATAAAGAATAGGCTATGTTTTGCCATCATTTCCATTATCAACATGAAAGAGGTATGCTTTTGCTGGAACAAAAAATTATGTTCATTCTTTGAACTGAAATTAACTCAGTCTGAGATGCCTTAGAGCAAGATACTTATAGACATGAAGTTCTTTTTCTTTGACAATGCAGCCTTAAAAACATCAGACAGGAAGAAAGAGAAACATATGCATTGATTTTGATTCTTTAATACTCAAGAGTGAAAAAGTGTAAAATCACAAAGCTTATGCCACCACAAAAACGCAGTTTCATTGCAAATTACCAAAACACAAGCTGCCCGCAAAGTTTCACACAGCTGACATCAACAAACCCAGTTTCAACATTCTTACCATCTTTTTAAACACCTGCTGTTCACAAACATCAGTCAATACAGAGTTCTAGGTCTCTCACACATCTTTCTTTATATTCTATGCTATATTTGCTTTCTAGACCAGTGGTTTACACATTTGGAAAACAGTGCCCCACTTCTGATCTATATCAGCCTATAAATACATAGGTTTTACCCCCCAAATGACTAACTATATTTTAAAAGCATTTTGTTTAATCCAAACTTAGCAGTAATGTTCTTATTTGTGTTTAATGAAAAGCACAACTTATATGAGTTAAGCTTCATAAGTGCATGCTGACCAAGGTTATATCACCAGCCCTTTCAGCCACAGGTTATAATACTTATGCAGAAAGTGATCATACAGGGCAAGTTAGTACACCAGATTTCTGCTCTTACTAGTAATGCCTGTACCCACGGCCCCGATTCTGAAAATGCAACCATTAGGCCTGCAGGATGTGGTTGTCCACCTAACTACAGTTTGTTGCCTGAAGGTAGTAGTAACCAAAAGTTATCATTGTGTCAAAATGTCTCAGGTTAATGAGAACTAAATGAAAAACGGGCTGCTTACCCAAACATTTTTAAAACTGAAACCCTTTTTATGTGAGATATCTTTGTTTTTGCAGCCTGTAAGTATTCATGCAAAGGAACTGTGCCCATCCTTAAATGTTACGCTAATGCACATTTCCACTTCCCTAGAATAAACTAACTTTCCAACAGTTTATTAAAATCCTGATCTTAAATAGAACTAAAGAAAGTACACAGAACAAATTTTTC